CTGGTGGGTGGCCGCAGGCGCGAGCCGGGCTGTGGCTATCGGTTGATCTGGGGTCCTTCCCGACACTCGCGGAGTGCGGCACACTGACGGTCGTCGGTCATTGTTCAATCCCTGGGCCACGGGTTCATTATTGTGGGTTCTCGCTGGAAATTGATAATTATCCCTGTCAGTTTTATATTGTTATTTGAAGCTCCCTGCTACAAGGGTGAGTGATGTCAGCCGGGACGACTACATTTTTTATAGGGGGGGGGGGGGGGGGTGATGTAGTGACATAGAATCGGTCACCTAGCAGCATAGCGCTGTCTGTTGGTGGGGAAGGGGATCTGCAGCTTACAGCAGCACTGACTGACAGCAGGCCAGGTGATAGACTAGAGAGGGATCTAGGGGAAAGGTTGCGGAAGCAGGACATCAAGAACCCGCTAGTAGGTTCCAGAAAGTGGGCGTGGCCGGGGGCGGAACCAGGCCATGCTGACAGTATAAGAGGGGCCCCTGTAGGGGACCTCGAGGCTGTCGTGTGGAGTGGGATCCCCGTCGTGCTGCTGCTGGAGTCTTCGCCGTTGTCTCCGTCTTCACCATCTCGGCGTCGCCAGTCAGGCAGTCTACCAGCTGTCCTGACTGGGAACCGTAGTTCATTTAGTGACGAGTTATAAAGTGTTAACAGTCATGCCGTGTTAATAAACAGAGTGCCTCCTACTCTTAGTGTCTCCAAGTCAGTCACTACACATACAATGACTTATCCAAGTACTGACAAAGGCAGAGATCTTCCGTATATCCGTAACAGACTTTTGGGGCAAGTGCTGTTAGCGAGCACCTATGAAGGTCAGCAAAGCACACGAGGGAGTGGGTGGCCGACACCATGCCCGGCCGCCTTTGTCTCCCTCATGGCGATGTTTATACACCACGCCAAGTACTCATTTAAGGCTGAGTCGACCTAAAGACCATGAGTGGGAGTACTCGGGTCGCCGGCTTCGTAGCACAATTTGCTAACCGCTACACTACCGTAGGACACACATTCACAAAATAAAAACACGTGTCAGGCCTCTGAGATATTCCACGATATATCACTTCACTGTTCAGTGCGTTTTGGTGAACGGGTTGAGGAGCCCAGGAATTGTTCATACACGACTCGCCCTTGATGGTTGGGAATCAAACTCAGGGGGCTCAGTTCATCATGCAATGCATTAACCATCACGCCACCACTCCAAATATATTAGACTGAATTTAATACGATTTTATTCCAGTATTCATGTGCGAATACTGAGGCTGTGTGGTGGGTTTGTGCATCAGCTTAAAACTGAATTAAGCATACAATTTAAAATTGCATGTTTGAATGTATGTTTAAATATCCCGTGTATATGTTATGATGTTCTGCTCGTCTGTCCATCCTTATCAGAATTCTTCATTTTTCCCTCTCAGTGCATCTGAAATCCCTGTATACATCATGATAAAATACAGTATGTGAACATTTTGATTAAGTGAACAGGATTTTTTATGTTGCTGAGAATGAAACAATTTTTTCATGTTTCTGCCAACTGTTTTCTTTTTTTACAAAATACAATAGTCCAGTATGAAGAATTGCTATTGCTGCAGATATCATGTAGAATTGAATAAAGTCAAAAATAATTTTGTTTAGCTGATCCTAGACTAATAAAATATGCAAAAATACACACGATAAAAAATACTCGCGTTTGCAACAATGCAATTATCATTGACTATCATTGCTTATTAATGGTTCTTTCCGCAAGCCAAAATCCCATCATATACAGCATTCAGTCTGTGCATTTTTCACCCGTTATTGAGTGCCAAATATACTTGCTGCTCGTCTTTGTCACTGAGATAAATTGTATTTTTTCAAAGCAATCTGCTCCAGTGCGAGAGGCAGGTGTAGCAACATGCGTATATGTATTGGACTTATTTTTCCATGTTACCTGGAGATATTGCTCCAGCACAGATGATGTGTCATGTTTTCCTGGGGACCATATCTGTGAATGGCGTGCAGCACTGCGCATCAATAAATCTTGTTGTGTAGTGCGTTTGGCAGTAATCTGGCAGCCAGCGTCTTGGCACGCCCGATGTGACCGTATCCTCTGGTGCCTGCACTAGAGATATCCATAATATTGATTTTAGGGTTCATCATCCTCCCTTGGTTAGGAATGACTTTTAAACCCGGGTGCGATGGGTTTATAATGATTTTTTTTTCTGTGCGTGCCATGGTTTTGGCTCATTAACCCATTACCATTAACTTACATATCTCACGGAAGCCTCTCTTCCATCTGGCAGAGTTTATGCAGCGCACTGCGCAATCTCTGTTTCTCGTGTAAAGGCAGGTGTTTCTACAAACACTGCCAGTCTGTGTGATCTCTGTTTGTCAGGGGTGTAGCAGTGCTGTTTCTAGTGTAAATGCAGGTGTTTCTAATGGTAAAGGCAGGAAGAGGCTAATTGTTTAAATGCCTCCCAACACTGCTCCATCTTCTCTACAGCTGTCTCGCTAACCGGAGACTTTACACACAGGACTCCCTATACAAGAGAGGGTGTATTGTGGGCTCATCTGCACCCCACAAATGGTGCTCTTGTTCCACCGCTGTGCTTTCCCGACCCACTGGAAATATGAGCGCACCGCTGAGGTGTGACAACCATTTTGTAGCCACCTTAGAAGCAAATGCCATTTCAGTAAAACCTAATACTCGTTCATTTCAGCCTTGGGCATGTCACTCGTAAAATGATGCTGAAAAGTGAATCATTTTCACAGACAAAATCCATTTTACAATCAGGAAAATAATTTTCTGTGCATAATATCCAGCTATGTTTTTATGTTGAAAAGCCCATTCAATCTTTTATTATTATTCATTTTCACCAGTTTTACACCGATTGTACCCTTATAGGGCTCTTCCTGAAATTCTTTAAAATATATATGTGCCTCCCTTGCGGCAGAAACCCAGATGTTGTGCGCATCCCAATTGCTCGAGGAACGTGGAGATTACCGCCTTCAATAAATCCCACACCTGTACACACTCTGACGTGTCAAAAAGTTGCGTCTCTCGAACATATATTTACAATTGTTTAGTGAACCTGTTGTTGTACGTGACTTTTGATTTTTTCATATTTAACTGGAGCCACACTTTTTAGCCTTCTTCATTTAAATGATTCGATCATTTTGTCGAGTTCATTTCCATTGGTCGTCATGATGACGATCCCATTGGCAATTCAATGTTCAGAAAATATCTTACAGAGTAACAAAAATGCCTAATTCAGAGAGGAACACGTGGGACAGAGAACCAGGGCAAGGTTAGAGACACTGTATTATAAACTGTTAAAATGTGAGTGTGCTTGGGCAGGGCACGATGGCAGACACACGAGGAGGGAATTTGTCTAAGAGGGTTATCCACTGCACACGCGGAGCAATGTAAAAAAATGGTCTTTAGAATGAGTGTGGCATTTCTGGGTAAATGAGAGCACTGTTTTCTTTTTAATTTTTATTCACTGAATGGGACTCATGATTTTCATACATGGGGGAAGAATCCAAATTTATAAAAATGTTGAAAGACCAAAAAATTCAAAGCAAGCACAGCTTTCCCCACCCAACATGAACTGTTTCGTGTGATTGTAAATAACCAGGAATATTTAATTTAAACTTTAAAATAACTCTGTAGTTAGTAGTGTACAACTAGAAGCCAATAACACAACACCACCACCATATAATCAACATTGTTTTATATCAGTCAAGTATATGATGGCTAATAGAGTTTATTTCTCAAAGGAATATATGTTAATTGTCTATATGTATACACGTGTTTTGTCCAATTACTCATAATATAAAGTTGCACATGAACTATATCATGTGTATATATGTAAACTATATCACATGTCTCCAAACTGTTGTGTCTTTCCATGACACACCATCATAATATAATCTGCCATCTCCAGCTGCAAGTCAACAGTTTTAAATTCCCTCTCGTAATGGCGTTGCGCTGGATTGGTGGTTACCACTGCTGTGGTCTGGAGATCACTGCTGTGGAGATCACTGCTGTGGAGATCACTGCTGTGGAGATCACTGCTGTGGAGATCACTGCTGTGGAGATCACTGCAGTGGAGATCACTGCTGTGGAGATCACTGCTGTGGAGATCACTGCTGTGGAGATCACTGCTGTGGAGATCACTGCTGTGGAGATCACTGCTGTGGAGATCACTGCTGTGGAGATCACTGCTGTGGAGATCACTGCTGTGGAGATCACTGCTGTGGAGATCACTGCTGTGGAGATCACTGCTGTGGAGATCACTGCTGTGGAGATCACTGCTGTGGAGATCACTGCTGTGGAGATCACTGCTGTGGAGATCACTGCTGTGGAGATCACTGCTGTGGAGATCACTGCTGTGGAGATCACTGCTGTGGAGATCACTGCTGTGGAGATCACTGCTGTGGAGATCACTGCTGTCGAGATCACTGCTGTGGAGATCACTGCTGTGGAGATCACTGCTGTGGAGATCACTGCTGTGGAGATCACTGCTGTGGAGATCACTGCTGTGGAGATCACTGCTGTGGAGATCACTGCTGTGGAGATCACTGCTGTGGAGATCACTGCTGTGGAGATCACTGCTGTGGAGATCACTGCTGTGGAGATCACTGCTGTGGAGATCACTGCTGTGGAGATCACTGCTGTGGAGATCACTGCTGTGGAGATCACTGCTGTGGGAATTGGTCTGCGGGAACCGTTGCAGATGAGATTTGTTTAAAAAAAAAAAAGAAACTCCAGATTTTGTCTGCATCACCCTTTGAACAACCACTATTTAGATTAGTCGATTTTTTAGTAAAATATTACGGCATTTTAAAAATAGTTTTGATTTCAAAAGAAAATACGTGATCGGTGCCTGGTGATACGTGAAAATGTTTTGATGGTGGACATTGGTCGGCATGTGTAGGAAGTTTGGCCACCACTTTTTTTTTCAGACCATGCGTCTGGGTTTAATTGTTTGTCGCTGTTGCGCCCCTTCTCCCCCCGCAGCACATCAGAAGAGCTGCTGCTGAGCGGCCTCAAGCCGTATACGCGCTACATCTTCGCAGTGCAGTCCCACGGCGCTGACATCCACGGGCCGTTTGGAGCCAGCGTGGAGCAGAGCACGCTGCCTGACAGTACGCCTCACCCTGTCCCAGCACCGACCTAGAGCACGGACAGCGGCGATGCGATGAACCCGAGCACCGGCCTTTATCTTCTTTTGCTCCTTCTTGTTCGTGAAATCGCTCATTTTCTTTGACTTTAAAATACGGCGATACAAAAAGCGTCGTATAGCAAAAACAGGATTTTGGAATTTGCGCAAAAATGCCACGTGTTTTTTTTACAACGCCAAACATAAATGGCCAGCCTAAGTTTATGAGAACAGGAGCTGTTAAATTGTATGTGAAGGGTCATTAATTGGTATATGAATGGTTTTAAATTATCAGAGTAATGAACGGCAAGCTGATATGAATATAAAACATGTATTCAGATGGCTCCCCATGTTTCCTCGTATTAAGATTGTTGATGTAATGCAATGTAATTTGGATATACATCAATGTGGATATACAGTATCCAAATTGCAATCTATATTTAAAAGTGCATAGCTCCAGTTGCTTCCTAATATCGGAAGGAAGAGCGTTCAAGATGCCTGTAGAAGCGCATCGGAAAGTGCGCGATGCAGTGATCTTCTTTGTCCAATGTTTGCCAAAAGCCGTTGCGAGGATGACTGGAGTTTGTCAAGGAGCACGTGCTCCTTGACGAGATCAGCGAGGTAGTGTGGTTCATTTGTGGCAAGCACTTTGTGTGCAATGAGAGCGACCTTACAATGTGTAGTGTTCGACTTTACGCGGACAACTTCTGTCTTTCTTCGAACACCGCTTTATTTACAACGTTCAACATGTCCTCCACACTCCACAGTATCCTGGTCGCCACGGCTCGCTCGCCGTGCTCCGCTCGTCTCGCTCACCACCTTTGTCTCCCCACTATCACTTCACTTGCTTCGCACTCAGCGACTCCCCGTTCAGCAACTCCGCACACAGCGTCTTCCCACACAGCGACTTCGCACACTCCGCACACAGCGTCTTCAGCGCCGCTATCGCTACGCTCACTCCACTGCTAACTACTTCGTCTCGCTTCACACTCTGTTCCAACTCCGTTTTCCACTGTCTCCAAACTCTGTCTCCAAACTCTGTCTCCAAACGCTGTCTCCAAACTCTGTCTCCAAACTCTGTCTCCAAACTCCACATCTTCCTCGTCCAGCTCCCAGCTCCCAACTCCAACTCTCTCTCTCTGTGTCTCCCCCCAATGTATCCCCATTCTCATTATCGCTAATTAATTGGCCCGCGTGCCTCCGCACGCTTCGCGTCCTCAAACACCTGCCTTTCTCCAGACATCTCGACGCCTCCTCGCCCTTGACAACAGCCACAGCCAATCACCGCCGTTGCTGATCCTCTGGCTTAGTTGGCCCAACCGTTACCTCATCATCCCAGCCCTTGCACCTGGCTGTCCTAACACGACCCACACTGTTTTCGCCTTCTCCACAGGCTGACCTAAGATAACCCACACTTTGTCCGTGTGATCATGCAATTGCGCAGTTCCCACAACACACCTTCATACTCCGCTGCAAATGTATTCGGTCGGAAAACCGGAAGTCAATGCATCTTCAGATGCGGTATGAAACAATATGACGTGTGCATCAAGGGTAAAGGAGGCATATATATACATCATTCCGGGAAGAAAAACACACACACACACGTCTATTGCGATTCATTATGTCATTATAGGAATATTTGTCACTCTCAGCCCTCCTGTGGACAGGGGGATGAGTGACCCCGATTTTGGGGGTGATGTCACCTGCATCTAAATTATTCCCAACAAAGTCACATCGTGTCACCCACGTGATGTGCTATGGACGCTAATCCGGGAGAGCCTTTGTGTGGGTGTAGTTGTGAGTCGATGCTGTTGTGTGTGCTGTAGTTGTGAGTGCAAGTTGTGTGTGGTTGTAGGTGTGAGTGCACGCTGTTGTGTACGCTGGAGTTGTGAGTGCATGCTGTTGTGTACGCTGGAGTTGTGGGGGCATGCAGGTGTGTGTGCTGTAGTTGTGAGTGCATGCTGTTGTGTACGCTGGAGTTGTGAGTGCATGCTGTTGTGTGCGCTGGAGTTGTGAGTGCATGCTGTTGTGTGTGCTGTAGTTGTGGGGGCATGCAGGTGTGTGTGCTGTAGTTGTGGGGGCATGCAGCTGTGTGTGCTGTAGTTGAGTGCATGCTGTTATGTGTACTGTAGTTGTGGGGGCATGCTGTTGTGTGTGCTGATGTGGGTAATGCCCGTGCTGCTGCCAAAAGTGGCAGCCAACCCTGTTGTCAGGGCAGGGTTGCACTGGGGTCACATTCACGTTGTGATCCCACCCTCAAGCAGTGCATAATCTTGTTTCATTTATTAAATAAGTAATATCACAGACCGCTTTCGGGACTAATTCAAAATAAATTCGTATTCGGTGGTGCACCTCTTGTACGCAATGAAAGGAATTTCGGTGGCATGGCAATCAAACCGAGTTTTTTAGTCAGAGCTGGATTTTGTTGAAATGCAACATTACAATTTTTTTGTGTGGCTTTTTATTTGGGGTGTGCAGTCTTTTGTTGACTGGACTGAGACTCTCAACTTGCGTCACTTTAGAACCCATTCTCATCACACGTGTCACCTACTCAGATATGAACTCAGGATCTCAGTGGAGCCAGCTCATTGCTCTCAGCTCCCGAGTCCACTCGGCTACCTAATCATTTTTTTGTTTGTTTGATATTCCATCGATTGCTGCATGTCCAAATTTCAAAGTCAAATTTCAGGTCGTGAATCATGATCTCGTATCATTTTGTATAACCTACCAGCATGCTTGCCTTCCCTGCCAGTGTGATTCACATGTTCCATTGTGGTGTCGTTCTGGCCTTCTGGTTTATATGAGGGGTGGGGGGGGGGGGGAACCCATGTACAACATACAGCATATGCATCCTCGTACATATACAGCATATATCACGCTCGGGCTGAATCTCCATCCTGTCTGATTCCGTCGTTATTTTTGGGATCCAATGGATCCAGATCCATTGACGTGTTTTTGTAACCCACGCTGCTTTGTGGCTGTGGGGACAGAGGGGCAGGAGTCATGGGGACCAAGCGGGGGCAGCGGGGGAGGTGTCGAGAGAGGCCTTGGAGAAGGGGCCAGGGGGGCTGGGTAGACGGTGACAGCTGCTCCAATGTTTGGTGACAGTGAGATAGATGTATGCATGTGGGCGTGCTATATACTTTGTATGCATGCATATTATGGCGCTGTGCATGTATGTGTATGCATTTCTGTATGTGCCTGTGTGTGTTTTGTACGTATGTATGACTCCACATATATATGTGTGTTTGTTATGTATTTATAGTTGTGCATTTACATGTGTATTTGGTATTATGTAAGGTGCTGCACGAGTGAATGTCTACAATGCTTATTGGCCTTCTTTGGGAATGCAATGGATATTTATCATTTAAAGCTTAGAAATTCCCGAAGCAGGCCAATCAGCAAATACAAGTTTAATTATTATTTTCCTATAACATAAACAAAAAAAAATTAATGCAAGTAATTATGTTTTATCATGAATACATAATCATTTACAACCGTTTGTTGCATAAAAGCCTTGTCACGCCGTGTCAGTAAAGGGCGTTGTTTGACCGTTCTTCATCAAACATTGGGCTGTCCCTTCAGATTGGTGAAGGGGTGAAAGGGCAGTCCAGGACTTGTCAGCCTTTGCCAGAAATGGAACTCAGATCACCAGATTAATAACGTAGGCCACTATCCAGTACGCCACTGCTCCTTATCATAGGTTCCACCGATGTATGCATGTATGTTTTATGTACATGTAGTACTATATGCATGAAACTAGATGTCTTTAACTATTTCAGGTTCATATATAGTGAGCTGTGTTCATACACATTCGTGCATGTGTATGCATGTGATATCCTATCACCCTCTCAGTTCAATGTTGTTCGACTATGTGTTCGCCAACACCACAATTCGTTGTCCTTAAATCCACTGACAAATTCTCTTCGTGCTATGTTGGTCACATGGGGGTTTAACCATACTTCACCACGCTGATCATGGTTGCGGAGTGAAGTGGGCGATCCGGGACTCGTTCTGACATCGCTAACCTTTGATGTTAGCCGGGGCCATGAGTACAACTCAGGCCACTGCATTCATAATGCAGTACCGTTACGTATAGATGCACGTGTTAATTGTGCACGTTCACGTTTGTATATTCTGCATGTGGTAGGGGAGTGGTAACAGTGGTTAGCACCCACTGCGCTTCGAACCCAGTGACCTGGGTTTGATTCCTGGCCACAGCTAACACCAGTGGTGCCGTCTCAGCCACTCCCTGAGCCTCCCCTATGTCAGGTCATCCTTAAATCAGTACCAGGTGCAGTGGGTAAACATCAGAGATGGGAAGACAAAGGCGGAAAGGCATAGTTCTGGCCACACCACCCTTTCATGCTGGCATTAATAGGCGCTCACGAACACCAATGACCGTCATTAAAGTTTTTGGTTTAGATCACGTAAATATAAACGACACATTTATATTCACGCGATAACCCAAAGACCTCGATTATGGATAATATTGGTCGTGAAAGCCTACGTATTAAAGTGACCAATGACCCGTTTTATGCGGGCTATTGTTTGTCTTCTCCGGCATGGGTACAAAGCACATTTTTACTATGTATATGTTTTGCGCATGTGTTGTTTGTGCATGTCATGTATTATATATGCGAGTGTGCGCATGTGGTTGTTCGGTGGCTTGACTCCACCACTGGCCCAGGGCCATAAATGGAAATGAGCACCACCACACATTCGTTTGAGCAGGGACACCTTGTGACTTGTCTTCTGTTAGTGTTCTGTAGGTAAGCAGCATGCATGCGGGGTGTGTATATATCAAGCTGCATTCGTAAGGGCATAGGTCTCTGAAATTGTGTGCACCCTATTGTGTGCTATAATACACCTGCAGAGTAAATGCCGTAATGTAGGTATACGGGTATATGCTGTGTGTCGTGTATATGTATGTGTTTGCATGTATTTCTAAATACATATATCTCGTCTCATTGTATGCGCATACACTTCAATACATTATAATGTACAGTCCCTTATCAAGGTACTAATATGCCATTGTAGTCGCAGATGCATTTTTTTAAACCATACTTAGCCACTCTGTTCAGCGTTGGTTCATGAAGGTGCTGAGGGCCGCGACTTGTCCAGCCATCACCGGTATCGCTTGCTACTTGCGTTAGCTATGGCTGGGACTCGATTCCTTGTGCATTAGGCACAGTGTCACCGTTCCGCCCTCTTTCCCGATGTCCATACTTAACTTATTTTGTTCCATTCTTAGTCTATGATGAGCATTTGTTATTGTGAAAAGGTGCCAATGATAGAATGTGGGCATTCACATTATAATCGGGTATGTTAGCGAGATGTAGATGTGATTATTTAATGGATGAGGTGATATCCAGACCAAACTCAGATTCCTCTTAAATTTAATATTTCCCAATTATAATTCTCATATGCAAGAAACTGAAATTGTTTATAACAGCACTTAAGTAAATGTAGTCTTATAGTGTTAAGTAAGGGCTAATTCTGACCAGGAGGAATAAGGCACATATATTGAAGATGAATTATGTATGACCTCTAACCTACGTCCAAAAAGACTATAACCTGACCTAAAAGATATCATGCTATTATATCAACACCACCAGAGGACAGCAGTGACCAGGTCGAGGCAGTGGGAAAAGCCGTACGAAGCTAAAGGTCACGCATATGCAATGTAGCTTTCATTTATTGGCAATGCTTGAGGTCAAACGTGACCAGGTGGTTGAGAGTAAAGCCTAATGAGGCTTAAGTTCACCCACGTGGAATGCAGTTTTCATTCATCGAGTAAACGTGATGAGGTCGAAAGTTACCGGGCGGTGGCGTATTAAGCTTAATGAGGCTTTAAATAACACATTCGTTGTAGTTTCATAAAGGATTGTTGCGTAGAAACGGGCTCAGCTCGTCGTCCGGTACCAGCCCGTCAATGGTATGTGCGTACACTAATGTATGCGTATGATGCGCACGTATACATATCAGAGGAACATCTACTGCCAGAACAGACCCGATGTCAGGAGGTCAAGGCACACAAAGAGTCCTTGTAGAATGTACGCTGGTATTTCGGCAGAGTGCTGGCCATGAATAGCACAGGGTCTCTCAGCCTTCGTCACTCCCAGCCTCTTGCACGAGCTCCTCTCTAGTCCCTGTTATAGCTTCGCCTTCAACTTGCCTTCGACGTTTTATTTTTAAAATATTGTTTGATCCCCATCTGACCATGTGTTGTACCTTCCCCTGTTTTTCTTTTTTTCCTTCAATAACATACTTCTTGTAAAAATACAGTTGGGTCGTCTTTTCTACAATGTTGTTTATCGTGTGTTATGAGTGTCATGCCACGAGACAAAGAATCCCTTTGGGAATGTTGCAGAGCAGAGTGACCTCATTTCCCTGAGAACAGCGATGCAAGAGATTAAAGATTCTTCAAGTGGCCTTTTTAAGCTCTCTACAATAGGGGGCAGACTTTCCCATACCCTCTTCTATGAGATTGGTATCCGTAGTTTGACAGTCAAACATCCACAGTATTTTCATTCTCAGAGCTGGAATTTAGCAAAATTACATTAAAATCCAATTTTCATTTTTACGTATTTGTAGAGTTGTTGGTGACCAGGCTGAAACCATTTTTTGTTTTACCTACATGACTTTACCGAAATAACCAAAGAGTATGAAACCATAAACTTAATACAATTGAGAACTCTGTTGAAACATAGATTTGAATCCAGGATCTCAGTGGTGCTGGCTCAGTATTTTCACTCCTGAGCCACTCGGCCACCTCAACCTTGGACTTGTTCCTGTGTGGAACACAGCCATGAAATAAACATCTTTCCTCCTAGTGGTCACTCATATGCTTGGTTGCATTATGGGGAAAGTTTTTGTTGCTATCATCTGTGGATGTAGATGTTCTTTTTGTATCGAAAATTTGTGAAAATTATTTTTCAAATACATATGTAAGGACAGTACGGGGTGATGTAGGGACAGTACGGCTCCACGTGGCCACGGTTACTAATTAACGTAACGGGAACAGACAGGGTCATGTAAGGGTAATGTGGGACCTAAGTGGTTGCTAATAATGATTGACGCGACAAGCTTTGACAGGGTCACGTGAGGGGAAGCACGTGACCTAACGGTCGTAAATTGTAATACGGGCAGAGACAGACAGGGCCAGGTGCGGTGAGGGAGGGTTCGGGAATAGGGGCGTGGCCAGCTCATGAGGGGGATAAAAGCCGGCGTGAACCGGGGCCCTGGGCTGCTGTTGTGGGGGCACTGCCGTCGCCGTCGTCACCTTGGAGCGGGTCGTCTTCGTCATCCTGCAGTGGGCACCTTGTAGTCTTGGAAGGCTATGAGTTATGTTGTCTCAGAATAGAGTTATCTAAGTTACCCAAGTGTATATATTCACTCGTGGTTACTCGTTAAGTTATCAGTGAGTCGGCGGATTTTATTAATAATAAATATACATATAACTGAACAAGACGGTGTCTCTGAGAGCTATATTACACGTGCAGCAGTGGTCCACTGCAGAACTACCTTTGGACGTTCCACAAGGTCATATCTCAGCTTACGAATATGCTTACGAACTACGTATGTATTTTGAATTTCTTTCGCACTGTGCTAATCGGAGGTGTGGGGAAATGACAACAAACTAAACACTAAAAAGCAACTACACCTGTTACAAAAAATCTGGACTTAAAGCTTTCGTGACTGCAGGAATTCATATTCTTTGGGTCTTTCGGTAAAGTCACGTAGATAGGTAAACAAAAACTATGGCGTTTTGACCACTTGTGTTGCGATCGAAACGTCGTAGTTTTTTGTTCTTTTGTTTCTTTCTTTGAACCTATGTACGTGACTTTACCGAAAGACCCAAAGAATATGAACATCTTTGTCATTTTGTGTGTGCGTATACACGATCACCACTCATGCGCTCCCCCGGAATGTGCTTGTGCGGTTCACACAGGGCCTTCCGATCCCCCCAAAGACATCAAGCTGAGAGCCATGGATTCCAGCCGCGTGCTGGTGTGCTGGCAGCCCCCAGCTGAGCCCAACGGAGTTATCTTGGAGTACGTCATACTATACAACACCAACCACAGTCAGCCCTACGATGTATGGGCCTTCTTGCTCAGACCAGGTGAGGTCTCATTCACTCACACTCGGGCCATCCAGTGCATTCAACGTCAAAGGCTCCATATAGTAGAGGCGGTGATGTGTGTGTGTGTGTGCTAAAGCACAGCAAGTTGGCTCAGTAGGGGGCACAGGTGGTGCATCAGCCAGTCATCTCAGTCGACCCGTGACACCTGGGTCTGCCCCGTGACCTCCTGCCAGCGGGCATTCGACACTTCACGTGGCCTCAACGTGTACATAGCCTGGCACAAGCGTCGTGGTAACGTCACCCCGCCACTTAGTGGCGAATGGCGGTTGTTGTTGTTGTCTGTGATTTCCTAAAGGTGCAAATGCAATGGAGCCAAAGGTACCCTCAGTATTATTCAAAATGTCACGACTTGTTAACTAAATATATAATGTTATTACATTAAGATCAATAAGTCATTACTGTAGTTCAATTGATGCCACTACACTGCACTATTAATTGACTTCTCTCAGATGCCTCGATGATTGCACACTTGACACGCAACCTCTAAGGTCTCCTTTAACAGTATGGCACCGTCTGGATTGAGGCATTCCCCTAGGTCACCAAATCTACCGGTGTCCACGCCAGTGTGCGTCTCGGTATTCTGCTCTCCATTCGGCACCTGCAGCCATGGCCATCTCTTCTCGAATACGTTGATAGTCGTTTCTTGTCACATGATATCGGAACGGTCCAAGTTGCATACTCGGTTCTGCCATGTAATTGCAAACATCGTCTCTATGCACCTACACCCAAGAGTCATATGATGTTCTCCACTTGCATTATTAGAGTCCAGCTCACTGACCCATTCAGAAACCCAGGCTCTTCTATAGAATGGATATACTTGTGGTTTTCTTGATAGTCACAGTCATTGCATTCCAGAGTCTCTGCGCAGTGCAGTGCAAAGACATGAAAACTCCACAGGGGAACCACCAACTGCAGACCATAGTTTGAGAATGGAATTCATGATGGCTTTTATGACTTCAACAGATCACAGATAAAAGGCAGTACTCAGTCATTCATGATGGTGGGCTGTTTAGGCTCTTTAATTATCATTCCTGTTGTCACTGCTTGATATAGGGTTTGCACATTCCACTACCATATCCTCATATCTTCATTTAGACATTGCCATTTTTAGCACGATCACTGTCATCATCTTGAACTTCATTGCAATCCTCATCAACAAAGCATCAATACGTTGTCATCCTCAATATCATCAATCAATCGTTTAGCTTCTGCGGTGACCAATAATTATAGGTGTACCTCACAAATTGATAATAGAACAATTTACTCTGCAACTCTTTTTATGCACGCTCAACCACTTCTGGATAATTCCTCTGATCCATGACAAAACACCGACGGTAGGAGGAATCGTTCTGTGGAAATCAGTTTTAGTGGTTCGACCTTGACCATGCATAATACAAGTCCTGGGTAAGAAGTGTGCAGATAAGAGTTGTTTCACCACTATTGATAGAGGCAAAGCACATACGTATTACTATTGGCAGTTTCAACTCCAGGAGGTGACTGTAACATCCAATAAATGGTTAAACTGGTTACATGGTGGCCTATGTAATACCATTCGCTAATGGATGTTGTTACGGCATTAGGGTTGTATGGTTTTAGACATGCGTCTCTGTAGCTCAGTATTTTAAATGATGCCTGCTCAGGATATTATCCTTCTCTCAAGATTAAGATAGGGGGTTGGATATTTGGAGTCGAAGCACTGGTAGGCCATTGATATCCATCAGTGGCTATTTATAGCAGCAGAAAAAGCAAATAGTTTCCGGTAGAAACATTTGATCAACAAACATTACGAGTCAAGTGGCAACTGCTCAGGGTCCTACTAACTACCACAACCTCATGTGAGTTTAGGTAAGATGCCGCTTGCTGGCTCAGACATTGCCCAGATTAACAATGTTTGTGCAGGTCACTCAGGTGCTGTGGTGGCTGTAACGAGTGCTAGTGGACATTGTTTCCCCAGATGAAGAATCGGGGCTGGGTGATAGCAAGGGGACTGAAGCATAGGAATTCCTTCTGTTATCCGCTCTGTATGTACGTAAGTGCTGCCAGAGTCACAGCGATGAATACTCCAATTGCTCACATGACCCGTGGGCAAATCATGTTCATGATTGTTATATTTTCGATCACTGCATTTTACGTGTATTGAGCCAGAATGACGAGTAATCATGGTTTCAAATGTGAAAATAGATTCATACCAGAGAAAAAAAAACTGGTTCTTGCACATATGACATGTATGAGTGTCTCAGCCTGTGGTCATCGTTGGCTACAAAATCGTAGTAAATATCTTCTCTGTCGGTGGTGGGTCTCCTTAGGTTTTGTAACTTAGAAGTTTGTAGATTATGTAACATACTTTGTCTCGTGTTGAGATGGTTGTGTTAACCATAATCCAACTGGTAAAAAAAATCTTGATTTGAAGCTTTCGTGACTGCAGGAATCCACTTACTCTTTGGTTCTTTCGGTAAAGTCACGTGGGCAGAAATAATAATAATAATAATAGATCACGACGTTTTGATCGCCACACAAGCACTCGTCTTCAGGCGGGAGAGAGAAACAGGCTGCTGAAACAAGTCCTCATATATAGAGCCGAGAGGGGGCAAAACGTACGAAATCAGCGGTGGATCAAATACTTTGATTCCCTCACTGTAACAAATGTTCCCTCAAAAAAACGGTGACCTTTCACCTGCAGTGTCACGACCACCGCTTGGAGGCCGCAACACCATTAGCATGACTTATCTCACGAAGCCATATAATGTGCCGCGCAAAGGGATCATTTATGCTCGCACATCAAATTACTGCTGCTTTTACCACGGGGCTCTGAAGGGTTGGCATAAAGTAATAAAATGTTTTCTCACGGTGAAGTGTTTACGTAGGCCGAGCACAGAACACCATTTTAGCATGACAGACATTAATGTGCCCGCACCACACTGTATACAGAGATAAGAATGGAGAACACTGAGTGCCGATGGCAGTTTCATCTTTATCCATATTTATACAAGATATAGTGCGCAGATATGTATATGCTGTTGCACGTGAGTCAGCACATTTGTTCCCGTGTGTTCAAGTGCATAAGATATGCTTATTAATGACCTCTCCAGTTGTTCAATTTGGTAAAGCTGTCGTGGACCACGAACGAAGGCACAGCGTGAGTTTATGGCTCTGCAGGCATGGGTTTGTAATGTCAAACTAATCATTAATGAGCAGAAAATATCGACATTAATAATAATAATCGCAAAAAGGCTAAACCTTGGTGCTATAAATGTCCAAATGATGGGCCACTTTCTTGAGCTATCATTTGTGTGCAGGTCGCTTCTGAAAAATAAGTTAAAACCTCAGTGGGCTTTGCCCGGCAGGATGGGGATGGTTTGCGTTTTGGGTGATTTGTTAACCTTTCTTGTACTTTGCACTACTGTCGTGTTGTTGTACTCTTTGTTGTTGTAACGTGTTTACCCGCCTCTACTGGACATCTGTGAGAAAGAGCTTTATAGCTCATCGGATTCCTCCAGTACAAATAAATATTCTCATTCTGATTAAAGAAAAAATATCATACGGGCAATCTCTTGTTATCCATAGCTTTTTTAAAAATCAAGTTTTATTATTTTCTGCGGGATCAGGACAAACTATGGTTCTTCACTTTATCCAAGAGCAAAAGTAGCCAGGGACTCGTGGTAAAACATTCCCAGTATGTGCGAGTTAATCCAAAAATTGGAAGGCTGCACATAGTCACTTGGGCAAGATGCAGCTCTGAGAGGGGACCGCTTCTTGCCTGTGTTACTGTATGCGCCGTGATACACAGGAGGTCGTGGATTTGATCATGGGTTTTGATCTCTACCCTGATGCCTGTATATTTGGAGTTTGCATGTTCTGCCCATGGTCGCGTCGATCTTTCTCCGGGTCTTCCAGTCTTTCCTCCGGTTTAGAGTAATTGGCTGCTATACACTTTCACGTGATAAGCCACTTCGTTGAGCTATTAATTTCTGGCCAGGTAGGTTCTAAAAAGTGATATATAACTCAGTGGGCCTTACCTGGTAAAATAAAAATTGTAGTTTAGTTTTTAATTTAGGTTCTCAGGGAAGTAAAAGGCACCTGACTTTCACCTCACCAGCAAAGATTAGTGAGTGACATTAAAGTTGTATGAAATGTATCCAATTATCCGTGATTAACTGTTGATAAGAGTATGACCATGAAGTATAAGATACTTATGCCAGACTATGTGGCGCTTGTGCCGGGTTATGTGCACTTTAAGGCCACGTGAAGTGTCGAAGGCATGCTGATAGTTCACGGGACAGACCCAGGTGCCATGAGTTAACTGACTGGCAGATGCACCACCTGTGCCCCCTACTGTGCTAACTTGCTGTGTTTTAGCCACCTGGCGTTCCGCTCGTTGTTGTGAGTGTTGGAGGGCGACTGTCTCCAACTGCCTAGTAGTGTCCTTCACGAGCCTTTTCCACAGAGGTTGATCTTGACACTGCTGGTACCAGTCATCAGCAAGTCTCATACCACATCAGTACATTTCTTCTCTAGCCAATGCCGCACCCATTTATCCCCCTCTATCTTGCCAAACAAAAGCTGCTTTAGCATGAGGTGGCTGGGCATGCGGGCTATATGCCTCAGCCAACGCAGCCTTTATTGCTGGAGGAGCTAGCTAATGGGACTGTGTCCAGATCTTTAAAGTATTTTTGAGCTACTCACACCACCCAGTCGGATTAAACCCAGGATGGATTGTAGGCAGGCCGGCATGAATATTTCCAACTGGCCAGATGTTCCATTAGGGGTATCCACGTATCACAAGCATACAGAAGGGAGGGCATGGCTGTGGCTGAGAAGAACCAAAGCTTTGTGTGGCACGACAGACCAGGTAGCTTCCACATGGCGTTATGCAGCCGATGAAAAGATAATGCCACTCAACTGATTAGAGGTCAGACCTCTATCGTCAAACAGGAGTTGGTCATAAGTACACTGCCCAGGTATGGAAAACTTTTCACTCT